ATCTAATAGAAAAATGAAGTGGATATAGAGCATATGTTGCATGCTCTCAGTAGCATACTAGATGAATACAAATTATACAATCACATCTAGAATCTCTCTCTAACTTTAAGTGCATTTGATAACCGCAGTGCACATGGCCATGGCAAATCGTCCTGATGGCTTATTGTATCTCCTTTTTCTTGAGTGCATAGAGCCTACAATGTTACAGAGAGCATAGGGAATTGTTTTGCTTTGTACTACAGAAGCAGCAAAGAGCTTGCTTTGTACTAGAGATGTTGCAGAGAGCTTAGCCGCTTGCTCACATACACATCATTAAGACATGCATCACCATTACTGCTCGCCACTTATTGTGACCTTCACAAGGTCAATCCACTCCTCTAATGGTTATTGCATCCTTTATGCCCAATCAAACATACATTGGCATTTTAAAGACCTCAATGGCTGCAAAAGCGTGTGTGCACTTTTCGTTATTACTTAAAAGAAAAATGGTTTGATAGGGTTGCAGTCTTATCAAAATAAGTAAAGCCTTACCTTATAACTTATTAAAAATTGTAATTCAAGTATAGGAAAACCTCTACATTGATCATCTCGACTTGAACATTTTGGTTGTGAAAAAATTTAGGATTTCAAACTCTAAAAATAGTGTACATTCTAACAAATTGTGTAGATCGTTCATTTCGCCCAAAAAATGAGTGTTCAAAGATTTGCAAGATCTGTACATTCTTTTAATTGAAAAGTTCATTGTCGGTATTGGAAATTGATTTTAGAGCCCTCATGGAGATTTCTGTTGTTGAAAGTGCTTTCTAGATAAGGATTTGAGGTGAGGCTTTATTTGGTTTTCATAAAGCCTAGGCCTTATAAAAACTTCATCCTTACTTAAATCCATGCGAGTTTTGAACTTACACATAACTGGTAGTGCCTGATAATCTTGCCCAACTCAGGTGTATGGTCAGTCATGCCTCTTGCATATACTCGCGGCTATCTCCCCTCAAATTGGACCGGTTGCTTGGCTATGTGAGCCTCAGGCCTATGGTCTAGACTCTAGAGGTCTATCCACATCTGACCATCGCTCATGTCTGCTCAATATCATGCACCAGGATCTTTGCCACCGCCTATAAGCTTCCAAGTCTTCCACACATAAATGTACGACATTTTGAGACTCGCCAATACCTTTTACATATAAATGGGATTTTTATAAAAAAATTATTTATTTTTTGTACAAAAATGTCACAATTATTATTGTCTATTGGATTTCAAAATAGGTTGTTGTAAGTATCATTGATTAGACACAAAATTCTAAAAAACAATTATTTTTAAACTTCGTGACTTACCCCAAGCCATCCAATTTGACATCTAATGTATGAGAATAGTTGTGACCCCTTTGTACAAGAGGTAAATGGTCTCTTTATAAACAATCATAACAAAAAAAGTCACATAAATGGTCTTTTGTAGACAATCCGCACAATAAAAGTTACTATTCTCAAAGTGTCTCTAATGTTGGTACTTGATTTTTTATTTTTTTCTTTTTTTTGTTTAACCTTTGATACTGAATTTATTCTTTTATGGTCCTCAAAATAGCCCAGTAGATATTGTACAATGGAGGTCTCATAACATGGGCCCGCATAAAGGTCCTAGTGAGTCACTGTAGACCTTCATCAAGGTCAAGTCCCTCCCGTTCAAAAAATTGTCCCAGAGCTCCTCTAAATTTGTACCAGACAAAACTCGAAAGTTTGTTTGCATAAAATCGTGATCTCTTTTTATTTTTTTCACAGTAGTGTATAAATTGCTGGTTCGACTCGGAGTCAACTAGAATCAGACCGCCGGTGGGGGATCAGCTCGAGTTCCTGTCAAAATTAGGAGAATCGGGCTATGTTTTTGTTTTCTATGTCTTACAAACCGAATGTCAAAAAGTATTGATTTCTCTCTTTTTTCTAAATAAAAATATCTCAAATTGTCCGAATGTGTTCATGTATCATTCCCCTCTATGGTAACCCTAAAATATACTTTTCCCATCAAAATCCAAAATCAATCAAATCTCAAGATAAATTTTTGGTTTTTTTTTTTCTATCATTTTTGGGATCCAAACTGCCTTTCTTTTAATTTGCCCCTTAATTCACCAAATTATTTGAAATTTGTTTCAGAATTATCCTTTTTTATCCTTCTAACAATTCTGTATTATAATATGTTGGATCAAAATGCCTGATCGAAAAGATCCAGTGTCAAGATTTTTTAATTGAAAATCTTTGATTTCTCAATAATTGTTTCACTGAATTCGTTCAAACTTCTCCAAAATGTTCATATCATATTTTAAATTCTACTTATAAATTCAATTCACATGATCATATCTATAGAGCTCACTTAATAAAACTAAAAGAAAGGTAACTCAAATTAAAAAATTTGACCAAAATACCACTGACACATCCAAGGTTAGTAGGTTAATTTTTTTATTTGAAAAATTTGTATTTATGTTTGGGGCCTAAGTTTATGAAAAAAAGATTTATGAAAAAAAAAAAAATGTATCTCTTAATTAAGCTTGTATTTAATCTGATTGTTGCATCCCTTTTTCGTTTCAGTCTTTAACCGTAAAATATTAACTTAAATGGACTTGGGGTCAGTTTGGATGTGCTCTTTATCATGGATAATTCACAATTTAAATAAAGTTAATGAAAATGAACGATTTATCCTTTCTCTTATGGAAAGACTGAATTGTCTGTTGTTTATCCATCATAAATTTATTTAAGATAAATTTATAGGCAGTTTTACATATGGATGCGGCCTAGCTTGCACATGTAGAAATATGGGCTTGGTAATAAATATATTTTTTAAATATGACGATCTTAATTTTTAGAGAATATATAATCTTTAACATTGAGATCATGAATATAAATAAATAAATAATTTTTAAAAAATAAAATAATAATTATATTAAAAAAACATCTGGATTGTTAGTTACAAGTGTGTTTAGATGGACCACCTATTTGCATGTATCTTTAAGATGGATGCTTTATACCTCTGGACCGCATATTGTACAAACACGGTCCCACCCGCAAGAAACAATTATTCTTTATATATAAGTTTAGTTTTTAAAAAAAGTTGTTTTTATTTTATTCAATGTAATTTTATGGACATCCTAAATTATTGGTTGGAAATAGCTAAAAAACTGAAATCACTACAAAAAATAAATATTTAAATAATATTGTACATCATACAATATACTAATCAAATAATTATGACTATTATAATTATTTGGAATGCATATTAGTTACATATAAAATAGAATATTGCCAATAAAATTACTTTTTATTTAAACAAATCCTCAAATAAATATTAACTAGCAAAAAATTAAAGACGACTCCTAAATAAAATAAGTTTTATTCGGAAACATTTAAGAATTAATAAGCCTAAAGGCAAATCATCAGAAATATCGTAATATTTCAGAAATATCCTTTTATTCTAATAAGTCTGAGAATAGCTAAATTTGTTGAAATCTACATTTATACCCATTCTTTAGCTTTCTACATTTGAAAAAAATAAAATAAAAAATGCCATTCACAATTCTATTAGAACCGTGATTTCCCAACTCCCAACTCTCATAGCTCAAGTTATCTAATAGATGATCAATAACACTAATACTATTATGATGGTTGACCTTCACGATACTATTAGTACCATGATGATTAATAGTATTGTGGCCCATCATCGTACTACATAGCCATCAGGGCAATGGAACATTATGGTTCTAAGGAATTTTCAAAAAACAAAAAAATTATAGAAAGGTAAAGAATGGGTTTAGATGTAGTTTTAAGAATTTAGGTATTGTTTTACTATTAGAAAATAAGAAAAAGATATATTTTTAATAAGGGTGTGGTTTGTATAAGGCCAAGGCCCTAAACAATCAAAGTAATGTATACCTTTAAATAATATCAAAAGATGTTGTTTCAGTATTGAAAATCTTTGTGACGGCCTGAAAATTTATCTTTATATCCAACTATAAATTTTAAAGTTTCAAAATTAGTATAGATCGAGCATAACTATGAACACTTGAAAATCTTGAAAATTGATTGTCCAAAAAATGCATAACAAAATGCACTATATTTTCAATACTTGAAATCCATTTTTCCTCATAATCATACATCTGGAGGTCAAGATGATCGATTTGAGGATTTTTGGGCATTAAAACAAACTCTTCTAGTGCATACTTTACATTTTTTATGTGCACCTTATTTTTATTGTTTAGGGCCTCACCCTTATATAAATTTTTCAAAATTTATTCCATATGCATGGGATGCACTTCTACATTTGCACCCCAGAGGTATAAAGCATCAATGTTAAAGATAGTGCCAATAGGTGGTCCATCTAAATGCAGTTAAAAGTTGAAATTAACGGGTAAAATGTTTTTTTTTCCATAAAATTACCATTTTAATTTTTAATTTTTCATATTTATGATCTCCATGTTATAGATTATCATTAAAAATTGGGTGCGGTTTATATAAAGCCTAGGCTCTAAACAATCAAATTAGAGCCTAAATTCAAATAGTGTCGAGAAATGTGGTTTCAATATTGTAAATCTTTGTGATAGACTTACAATATATTTTCATATTTATTTATAAAGTTTAAAGCTTAAACAATAGTAGAGATCGATTGATATATGAAAACTTGAAAATCTTGAAAATTGACGGTAAAAAAATGCATTACTTGAAATCTATTTTTTTTTACATGTGCATTGATGTCGAGATAATCAATTTGAAGATATTTGGGGATCAAAACAACCCCTTCTAGTAAAATTTTGTGGTAAGCTTAAATTTGATTGTTTAGAACCTCGGCTCTATATAAACTTTTCCATTAGACATTGGGTCCAAACACCCATCTCGAAAATAAATTTTTAAAAGGGGACTTATTTCTACGTGGACTCATACAACTCGTGTTTCCAAACTTTTCCCCTTTTATTGAGGAAAAAGTTTGTATGGAGCCGAAGCTCTAAACAATCACCCTATAAAAACCTAAGGCGCTTAAGGGTATAAAAACCAAGGTGCTTAGGGTTTTTGCACTCCCTTCTCTTTATGCGGTAGTGCCTCTCTTATCAATTACGGAGACCGCGAAACCACTGGTAAATCTCTCTCTCTGCATTTTTCAAGACCTGATAGAAATCCAGAAGGTTATGCCCTATTGCTTGATTTTCTGGTTTTGCTTCTCGGCTTTAATTGCTTCGGTTGATTTTTACATAACACTAATATGTTGAAAAAGGAAAAAAAAAAAAAAAAAACCCTTGCATTCATATGCTTCGAACTCAAATTTGATTGAGTTAAACCACATCTTGGTTCATTTTAATTTTGTGTCAAATTTGGGATTGTTAATGGATTCATGGATAAAGATTAAGAGAGCAAGGTAGAATAATGATAATAAGAATTGAATGTGGACCTTTTTGTTATTTTTTATTGAATTCTAGATGTCTTACTCATAAAATTTGATGCACTTATCTAAGAAAATCAATGTATGGGTGAATTTCTGATACACGCCAGAGAAGATTTGTGCATTTCTACTCATTGCTGCATTATTTTCTGCAACATTAATTATCTATCGTTTTTTTTTTTGGAAGAATGTTCACAATTTTGTATTTTCTCTTATAAGATAAGTCATTAATTATCTTTACAATGGATGACCAAAGTTTGGCCCTGAAGTTAGTCCATCCAATTAGTAGGTCTTTTATATCATTCTATCCAGATGTTAAGTGTTAGCATTTTTTTTAATAATACTGGTGAAATAGGCAGATATTATGTGTTGTTGTTGGTTTATAGATCTGTTGGTTTATGGGTATGTCTTTGAGAATTTGGTCAGTCTCCCAGTGCATTTCCTTTATACTAATTTAGCTTCCATTTATTATAATGGGCGGTTATCTTTCCATTGTTTGAGATGATTTATGGATCTGATTAAAATCTTGATCTTTCAAAACATGATGCGGTATATTTTCATTTGGAGTTTGCTTTCATTCAATCACTAGTGAGTTCAGGTTTTTAAGATACTCAAGATGAGTAACCTTTGATAAAGAAAAATAGTCAAGTTTTGCTTGTGATCTTGTTTAAGAGAACTGCTCTTGGGCTCAGAAATTCAAGCGTTTAACAAAGTCAAATAAATCAATATGAACTTCTCATTCATGTTTACTCATTAAAAAGTTAGAAACTTCTATTTCATGCTGATTAATTCTTAGAATCTGAGAACTTGCTTTAGGCAGAGATGGCCAGGGTAGCAGTTGCTATAGCATGACATCTAGATTTCCTTTGGCGCAGGTCCCAAGATTCAGAACAACTATAATAATAATTCTTAAAATGTAGTTGTTTTTTTTTTATTCAAGTTTTCCGAAAGATCATGTGGATTCGAATTTGTGCATTGGCGAATGTTAGACATGAAAAGAGGAAATTCATACGAAAGGCACTCATCATGTATTACAATTTTTGTTTCACAAATATTGAATATAAATTTCTATTTAATTGTTTGTTTCCTAGATGGAATCCAATTCTTTTCAATATTGAAATCTCTGACCCAAAATCCCTTTCTGGTCAAGGTTAATTGACATGTGTTATGATTGGGGATAAGGCTCTGATGATGATGATGATAATGAGATTGACCTTATGGAACTATCAATGATCAGGTTTCATACCTGCCGTGGTATTTGCAACATAGTATGCAAATTTGGGAGCAGGATTACACTCACCAATTAGTTCACTAAAATGAGTTGAATAGAGAGACAAGCATGGCCTCGAAGGATATGCATATTGCTAAAAGCGGCACCATATTCACTTTTCTAAGGGCTAATTTTTTGTGATGGTCTGATTTATTGATTTTGTCCATTCAAGCCACTTTAGTTTGAACCTGTAGCAATAGGTGCAAGATATTGTTCCTGGCTTAGTTCCATTCTGTAATCTTGGTTTTTGGTATTGGGATCTTATGTGGTGGTCTTACTATTTCGTTCTTTATATTATTAGAAAAGGGAAAAGGATTCGTGTGGTCGACCCCAAATAGTTGGGAAAAGGCTCTGATGATGATATTAAGAAAGATGTACTATTTTCCCAATTGCTATAGCGTTTCTTTGCCAATCTCAGATGGACTCCAAAATTTGATATTGATAAACACAAAGGGTAAGCTTAAAAAACATTTTAGTGTGAGTCATCCAAGTCACTGACAGAGGCAGCATAATCAAGTATGCCTAGCTGGTTATATACATGATATAGCGAAGGACTGAGATGAGTTGGCTTGAGCATGTCGTTAGTAAACTCACAAAGTCATTAAAAAAATAACTATTTCTCTGGTTTCTGCTCTCTCTCTCACATACACACAACACTGTCATTGGTGTGATTCTTATGACACTTATGTCTTTGGGTTTTTCATTTTCTGGGCCTCCAGGGCCATCAAAATGTTCACCGCAAGACGGAAGATTCAGAAAGACAAGGATGTCGAACCCACAGAATTTGAGGAGTCTGTTGCTCAGGTTAAACTTTTAAAACTTTAAACTTAAAATCTTGTTCAATTTGAGATGGTGCTTGCATCTCATGGCTCATGGTGAATCTTTTTGCAGGCATTTTTTGATCTTGAGAACAGTAACCAGGAGCTGAAAAGTGATCTAAAAGATCTCTTTATCAATACTGCAGTGTAAGAGCAGTGTGTTTTGCGCTCTTTTTTATTCCAGTATTATGGTCTTTGGATGAATTGTTTCTTCACATTTCAAGAAGAAAGTGGTTATTATTTTTTAATGATATCTTTGATGTTGCAGTCAAGTGGATATCTCAGGGAACAAAAAGGCTGTTGTGATCCATGTTCCGTACAGATTGAGGAAGGCTTTTCGCAAAATTCATGTGAGACTTGTCAGGGAGCTTGAGAAGAAGTTCAGCGGCAAGGTAGGGATATATAAAGGAAAAAATGCGTGTTTTCATCTTTTTGGCTTGGGTTTTAAACAAAAGCACCAGCTTTTTCTTTAAGCCAAATTCCCTAATACTACTTCTATTTCATTGCATATTAATTCCTCAATTTTATTACTGCTCACGGATGTGTCTACCTGATCATTTCTCTATTTGACCATTTACATTTATAATAATTATTTATCTTGTGATTGGTAAGTTGATAGCTTATGATTCTGGTTATCCCTATGGGATGTGTGATTGCACACAATATCCTCAAATTTTTAGTATATTGGGCAATCCAAAATAATCGTAATCCTAAAACATGGAAAGCTTGTTTGGGAGTGTAAAATAGTGACTTTTAATTTTGTGATAAGGACCGAATATCTGGATCACCAAATTATCAAATCTGACTTGAATATTTGGCGATCACAACAAAGCACTAACAAGCAGGCATGGGTTTTGCTGTCGAGAACAAGCAGAATTTTCATGGACTCATATTGGTATCTCAGGTACAACACCTAAATTTTTTTCAAAAGATAACAAGTATATGCCTTGTTTTACACACTTTCCATTAAAAGTAAAGCTACCTATCGCTCGTACATCTCTCATTCATACAATTTTCAGTAACATTAAGAGGATCATAAACACCTCTTTACATTCCCATAACCTTTTCCATCTTAGACAACCAAGATTGCATTTTCCACAAGACAATGTACGTACAATTGAACTTTTGTTGCATACAACTTCCCTTTCAATTATATATAACTCTCTTACATACACCCAAGACTGAATCATAATCTCAATTCTTACAAGCTCTTAACAAATGTGTGCTTAGGAGACACTCACCAGAATTCAAAACTTACTGTGCAATAATTTAGGGTGTATCAGCATAACAATGCTCCAAGTGCATCAAATAACATCATATACGGGTCTGATTTGCAGAAGTGAAATGGAGTAAGAAAAACTAGGTTTGTGGTGCCAAAATCATGCCAATTTAGTTGTAAAACAATGCAGCATGGATTTGGGTCACGAGGTCATAGTGATGGCTCGAAAAGATGAGATAAAAGGCATTAAGAGAGAGAATGTACTTTTTTGTAAATGCACTTCTACAGCAGCATGTGATAGCTCGAATGAAGTGTTGAAATTTGTAGAAGAAGGCCATTGATGTTGATGAAGTGACAAATGTCACAAAACCAAGTAAGCTTGAAGTTATGGGCCTTGATGAAGGGAATTTACCTTCTTTTTCTCTTGGTTTGCTGCATGACACTCCTTTCTCTCTCTAATTCTCTCTCCTAGGCATGCCACCCCCTTTCTCTCTCTCTCTCTCACTAGGTCGTGCTACTCTCTCTAGTTTAGCATTCTCTCTGTAAAATGGAATGGGGTATCAGATGAGAAGTGGATGGCTCCTAGTTATAGGCTTTGACTGTTGGGTCTAGAAGCTTCATTTAGGAAGATCATTTAGAGCCATTGATCTAGGAATCCTATAGGGTAAGGCTTGACCCTAGCCATCTAAGTTGGCTATCATAATCAAGGTTTGGGATTGAACACCATTATACTTGGGCCAATTCAAATCCAAATTTCCCTACACTTATTTTTTTACCAAGTGAAATTAAATCCAATCAAAGCACGTTAATTTGTAATAAAATCTTTTAGAGGGAAATAAATTAGGTCCCTTTGGATTTGATAGTGCATAATACCAAGGCATTCCCCTTTGTCTCATCCTGTAATCCCCAACCATTTTCTCAAACCAACCCATCGGACACACGACCGATTGTCTCATAAACCAAGAGTTAATGATGCTGACACCGGTATGAAGAAGGAGAGAGTATGTGTTGTGGATGAGACTTTTATGATGGATGAGCATGGGACCCATACTTGGTGTTTGGATTTGGGTGCCATGGTTCATGTGACTAACACCAAGATGGGCTTAGGGAACTTTAAAGAGATGAAACCAGGTAAATAAATCATATTCATGGGAGGGAATGAGAAGGGAATGTTGTGGGTGTAGAGACTATGAGCTTAACTTGGCAAATGGGGAGGTTATGATATACTGAAGCAAGCTCTTTATGCTCATGGTGGGCGTAAGAACTTCTCTTGGTTTCCAAACTTTGTGTCACTGGATATCCCCTTCCTTCAAATCAGACATATGATCCAAGTCATGCTTAATCCATTGCTTTTGTTGGGGAGTGGCTGGCCATGCAGGATGAGGGTTTCAGTTATGTTAAGATTACAAATGGGATTCTGATGCTCGAGACTCGCATGGCCCATTACTTGTATTTAGGAAGCAATATTTTTAGAGAAGATTGAGAGGGCCTACCCTTGATTGATTTTCATGACAATCTTAAACTTTTAGCCAAGGTTCCACCATTCCTTTCTTTAAGCCTCTTCTTTAATGTGTCATTAATAGGAGCCAAGTTTGATCCTAGAGAAGATTTTTTTTTTTGAGTAAGTAGTTCCTGGAGAAAATTAAAAGCGGATTGTTATGGTGTATGTGTATGATGGAAAGGTGGGATGTGATGTCGTAATGGTGGGTCACATGTCCAATGGACTCTTCCAAGTCAAAATAAAGAACCCCATTGTGTATGTCTCGGATGCACACATGCATGATTTATATTGTGGATATGAGGTGAGGGCATATAAGCAAAGAAAGACTAGAAAAACTACTGACATATGGTGTTTTGAAAAACGTGAATGGTGATCTTTCCCAAACATGTGAATCATGTGTACAAGAAAAAGTGGTTAAGAAGCCCCACATGAAAGCTTAGAGCAACTAGGCTTATAGAATTAGTCCATACAGATATTTGTGGACCTATGAGTGTAGCAACTAAGGGCCACATGAGATGACCATGCTTTCCTCCTTTGAAACAAATGTAATGCCTTAGAAAAGTTTAAAGAATACGAAGCCAAGGTAGGAAACCAGACCCGATTCAAAATAAAGGTTCATAGGTTTGATAGAGGTGGCAAATACAATTCCCACGCTTTTTGGGATTATTGTAAAGGGCATAGGATTGTACACCAAACAACCATGCCTTGTACACCCAAGCAAAACAGGGTAGCTAGAAAAGGAATAGGACCTTAGTGACTTGTGGCTAACTTTATATCCATAAGAATCATCATATCTATAGCCGCCTATTTTGTTTTTGATGTTAAGATGACATTCCTAAATGGCATCTAGGTGGAGGAAATTTATATGAAACAACCGATGGATTTGAGGTTAAGGGAAAAGAAAACGCGATGTATAAACTTAATGCATCCCTTTATGCCTAAAGCAAGCATCATGAAGGTGGTCCATCAAGTTCCACGAGAACTTAAAAAACATGGATTCAAGTCAAATGAGGAGGATCATTGTGTGTTTGTTAAGGTGTGTGGGAGTGGTTAGTCTTCATGACTTTCTAAGTAGACGACATTCTAATTGCTAGCAACTAAATGAGTCTGGTAAGGGATGCTAAAGCCTTTCTACCTATGAGCTTTGATAGTAGGACCTAGGGCAGGCAACTTATGTGTTGGGGATAAGGATCATAAGGGATGGATCCGCCAGAACCATCCAATTATCTCAAGCCATATATGGTAAGAAGATTCAGAGAATTTGAAATGAGTGTAGGCAAGCCTATTGGTACACCTGTTGAGAAGAGATTGAAGTCAAGTGCTAGCATATGCCTAAGAGTGAAAATGAAAGAAGGATGATGGATAGAAGTCCATTCCCAATTGTTGTTGGTTCTCTTATATATGCCACCATGGGAACCATGCGTGACTTAGATTTTGCCCAAAGCTTAGTTGGGAGGTTCCAAAGTGATGTGGGACTAGAATATTGGAGGGCTTTTAAACGAATATTAAGATACTAAAGGGGGGTGGCTAATTATGCCCTCACCTATGTGGATTTATTGGAATTGAATGTGGTCTTTATTCGGATGACGAATTTAATGGTGACCCAAATGATTAGGCCCACTTTGGGTTCTCTGTTTATGTATAAAGGAAGGGTTTTTTCTTGGTGTACAAACAAACCAACCATAAGGGATGTGTCTATCATGGAATTTGAGTATGTGGCATGTGGCATGGCTTCTAAGGAAGCAATATGGATCAAGATGTTTCCTAAATCAATTATGCTTTGACCTTGTGAGATGTGGAAGAGCGAGGAATATGTGCGATAATGGATGTTGAAAAATATGGATTCGATCGCCTAGTTCACTAGGCAGCTTGTCTAGGAAACTTAGGTTTAGGCCTCAGGGAAGTCCTTAGAGGGATTTGGTTACTTCAAAATGTTCTTAGAAACGATAGATTTTCATAAATATTAGTAAAACATATTATTTAAGTCCGTGATACACCATATTTCATGTATATTTTGAATATGAACTTGCCTTTGAATTACTTAAGAGTATAAAAGTCAAACAAATAAATAAAAAAGAAAAAGATGCTGAATAGGCCAATACCCACTAAGCACAATCTTAGTAAAAGGCCACTAAGCACAAACGAAAACCCACGATGGAATGTGGGGCACAAATTCGAATAAAAAAAAGAAAAAACAAGAAAGAATATTAAATATAAATAGACCATTTCTATTTATTATAAAAAAAATTAGTTTTAAAGATTTTACTAAGATTGTATTACCCAATCGTAGTAAAATGCCAATAAGCAAAAACAAAAATCCACTATGGATTATGGGGCATAATTCCAAAGTTCAAACAATGACTTTAATCAAAAAAGGAAAAGAAATACAAGAACAAAAAACCAACAAGAAAATCAAATACAAATAAACCATTTTGAAGGTTGGGTTACCCAATCCTAGTAAATCCGCATTAACCACAAGCAGAAACTCAAATAAAAATACAAGAACAAAATCCAAACAAAAAAACGAAAGATACATTATTGGTCCTTTTTCGATCAAGAATATGGGCCACAAATACAATCCTAAACAAGAATAAAAAAAAACCAAAGAAGGAAAAATAAAAACTATACCAAACATTCATGAATATCATATAAACCATACACAAAAATAATAATATCGGAACCTTTTAATAGCATTAGATCTTGGTTCGAATCGATGACCAATGAGAGCCAAAAGTGTTCTATTCATAACCAAATAACACAGATATTGGGTTGATTGCTTTTAGATTTCTTGTGAAATAAAAAACTTAGATCTTGGTTCGAATCGATGACCAGTGAGAGCCAAAAGTGTTCTATTCATAACCAAATAACACAGATATTGGGTTGATTGCTTTTAGATTTCTTGTGAAATCAAAAACTTTGAGAAAAATTTGAATCTTAAAAAAATCTCAAAAATCTTGTTTTTGGGGATTTTTACTCTCTCAAATGCATGCAAAGTAGGCTTTGGGGGGTTACAATCCCCCCCTAAACCCTTTCCCCTCTCTTTGAGGGGAAGACTTACATTTTTTGCCCTTGGTAGAGGGCATATTTCCATGCTCTTACTGAAGAGCATTGGCTGCCACATAGGCGCCCACCTAGAGGCAGCGGCATAGGTGGTGCCTTGTGCGCTTAGGCACATAACGCCTGGGCACCCTGCCTAGGCCCATATGTTGGCGGGCAAGGCCGTTGGCCACCTAGGTGGCTCTCCTAGGCAGCTAGGATGTTGAATTTGTTAATATTGGTGATAATCAAGTGGCAATTAGTGTGACCAATGGGAGGTTACCTTTCTAAAAAAATTAGTGTGACCAAAGAGCTAAGGTTTCAGAGTAAATCCAAGCACATAACATTGCCTAGGTGCCCAGCCGGCATAATTTTTTAATACTGGTGATGATCAAGTGGCAATTAGTGTGACCAAAGCCAAGGTTTCATAGTGAATCCAAGCACATAATGGCCGAGTCTTGTCATATACGTAATGACATTGACGATGGCGAGATAGAGTTGGCTTACATTCCATTGCCCTACGACTAAGGGTGTTGTGCTAGATTGTTTTTCAAACATGTTTTGTACGGGCTTAAGGCCATGTGATTCATGAGAGAGTGTGCACGTGATCATATAAGAGATCTAGTAGGACATCTATGTACATGAGTAAATGTATATGCAATTGTGTGCAAGGCCTCAAAAGGCCAAGTGGGAGATATTGGATTTGTTTAGTTTGTGAAGGCCTTGATACCAAGGATTTTATAGCTCTCAAGATCTGAAAGGGACTGAGTGACTCACTGAATCTTATGGTCTGGGACTTGGAGTTTGTTGACATAGAGAATAACTAAAAATTCGGATCCACTGAGCATGGGCATATAGCTGTAAGGGTTGGAGGTTATCCTTGGTTTGAGGTTGGTAGTCGCCCAATGGAAGTTTCTTAGCCAGGGCAACATTATGATATGATTTTGGACAATGGTGTGTGTGTGCTTGGCCTTGTGTTGGGTAGTCATGGCCAAGACAAGGGCCTAATCCTCGACACTTGCCTACCCACAACATGTGCATATAATAGGCAGTTTTGGGAAGCTGCCCTTCTAGTTGATCCACTGGATAAGGAGCATTGGACATGTGCTTGATAGAGGTATAATGGTGCATGTGTTACCATGAGGAGAAGCACCTGTAATCCACTTTAATCCCAAGATTTAGTCATCTATCGATGAGCTTCTGCTTGAGACAATAGGCCATGGTTACGTCGGGTTGGATTGAGGATTTTGTTGGGGATTCTGAGATGAACAAAAGTGGAGTACCTTAGTATTATGCACTATCAAATCCAAAGGCACCTATTTCCATAAGATTTTGTTAAGTCCCCAAATTAAATTTATTTTTATAAAGAGTGTTCAAAAATAAAATTTAGTGAATTTTTTTTTATTGAAGATAGAGTTGTTTTTGGAAAATTCTAAATGAGGACAACATGTGATCCACGCACACATGTGGGGCCTAATTGGCCAATAGGCTCACACATGTTCATAAAGCACAGGGGATCACGTGTGCTACCATCACACATCCACACTCACATATGAGAAGGAAGGCACCCCCCCACATGGGTGATGTCATGACGAGGTTTTCCTTGTGATGTCACCATGTGACATCACATGGAGCAGTGTTCTACTCGTGCTTTGCTTGGGTGTTGGCATCTTTGATTCCTTAAATTAAGGGCTGTGCACATGTTGTGCATATGTGATGGTTCTTAGAAGGGAAACTAGGGTGTGATATTTAGATCCAGACTCTAGCTTTTGATCATATGAAAAATACACTGGGCATGCTCCTCACATGGTGTGCATATGTGATGGTTTGTAGAAGGGAAACTAGGGTGTGATATATAGATCCAGACTCTATAGCTTTTGATCATATAAAAATACACTGGCCATACTCCTCTTAATTTCAGGGATTCCCCATATGCTAGTGAGAGAAACTCCTAAGTTCTTAATTTAAGACTTCGAGAGAGAAGAAATGAATCAAGAATAAGGAGCAATGTCCCTCTCTACATTCTTTCTCACAAAATATGTTTTAGACCAGGGCAGTTAAGCCTATGATGATTAATTTGAATTTGACTAAAATTTAGTGGGATTTAATTGAACTTGGTGGAAATTTTTGAATAATAAAAGTTGAGGGAAATTTGGATTGAATTGACCAAGGGGCAATGGTTTTAAATCCCAGCTCTTGATTGTGATAACCAACAAAGGATTGAATGAGAAGGATGAAACCTCTCACACCTTATAGGATTCCTAGATCAATAGATCTAAATGATCCTCCCAAATGATGACGCTTCTAGACCCTTTATCCAAAGCCTATAAATAGTAGCTATCCCCTATACACCTCATTCCATTACTAGTGACAGAATCCTCATGCCTAACTGCCTAAGTGAGAGAGAGAAAGGAGTGGCATGTTATTGCCACTTAACCTAGAGAGAGAGGAGTGTGAAGGTATGGCTAGAGAGAGAGAGAAGGCCAATTCCCTCATCAAAGCCTAGAGATCAAATCTCCTTGGTTTTCTCACTTCACCAACCTCAATAGCTTTCTTTTACAAGCTTCAACACTTCATTTGAGCTCTCATATGTTGCTGTAAAAATGCAATTATAGCAGGTATACTCTCTCTTGGTGCTTTTTTCCTAATGTTTCGAGGCCATTACCATGCCTTCGTGATCCCCTTCCATGCTATGATCATACTCTTGAAATATTATGACATCTTCTATTGGGATTTGTCAAACAGATTCTCTATGAAATATAAAGAACTGTTTCTATGATACACTCAATTCTAAAGGTGTTTTAAGTAGCCCTGACAAAGTGTGTCTGCTTTGGGCCAGCCCTTTGTCAGTCCTTGAAAATGGAACTCCCTTTGTCCTTTGAAAGTCTACTACTAGTAATCTGTTTCTTTTGGTTTTTCGGTTATGTCCTATGTTTGTGCTTGTTGCCTCTTGATTTATGCATCTTTTCTATTGGACTTTACTGCTTAAAAAAGAAATTATCCAATCAAAAAAATAAAATAATAAAAATTGAAAGTTAGAGTTCTTGGTCTTCTTACGGATTCTCATCTGAACTCGAAATATAGGATGTCATTATGATCGCAACTAGGAGGATAATGAGGCCACCCAAGAAGGGTGTGGCAGTCCAGAGGCCTCGCAGCCGCACATTGACTGCAGTGCATGAGGCCATGTTGGAAGACGTTGTCCATCCTGCTGAAATTGTTGGTAAGCGCATTAGATACCGCCTTGATGGCTCCAAGATTATGAAGGTAATATTTACAGCATCTCTCTCTCTCTCTCTCTCTCTCTCTCTCTTATTCCTGACTTGCAAAGATAGTTGTTAATTTCGTAGGAGTTGAAGTCAAAAGCAGGAAAGTGAGTGAGTTTTGCTTTGCTATCACAGGTTTATCTGGACCCGAAAGAGAGGAACAATACCGAATATAAGTTAGAGACGTTCAGTGGCGTCTACAGGAAGCTGTCTGGAAAAGATGTTGTGTTTGATTATCCCGGGACTGAGGCCTAAAAGGTGTCATATGTCCTCTATTTGTGTAAGATCAAGATTCCTCCTTTTTCTCCTGAATCGATTTTGGCGTGCAGTGATTGCCAGAGCTTGAACTTTCAGACTTCGATTTTCTTTTCAATTTTAATTTTGACATATGAGTAGGGGTACCCAGAATTTTGATATTCTATTTTGTTTGCTGAGGACTTTTTAGAGATCCTGTTATTTTTACAGAGGACGTGAAAGCATTGTTATTCGCTTTGTGGATCAAGTTGACATGCAATGTAGGATCTTGTGAGCAAACAGCTACTTGGTAACACTTGGTTTTGCACGAGAGGTTTTGTTAAAGATATGTTCTTTGGCACAATAGAGAGAGAGATGCTGGATGCCCCCTCTAGACCTCCCTTTTGAATGAGGAGAGATGCTGGGTCTCAGAGATATTTTAGGTTTACATCTGCATCATGAAAGAGAGAGAGAGCATGTGTTATATAAACATCACACTACACTAGTGCCATTTTCCTAAATTTTTTATTTTAACCTTCATTTGTAAAATCTTAAGCTAAAATTCGAACGCATGACCTCAAGGTTTCAACATATACCTTCCAATTCAGACTTGGCCTCGAGTCCTAATTTGTTGAACTTAAAAAATAGTAATATTCGGTGAAATTTTTCAAAGATATTGGGGTAAGTTTCTCCCTATCATGAGCGAATTCCGTTAACAATAGTTAGTTGCATTTGGTGCAAGCTGGTAAATTTATCGTACATATTACCCTTACATCGCCCCCGCCAAACAAAAAAAATCTATTTTTGAACCCTATAACCTTACCACCAACCTCTCTTATTTTTCAACAAATATTTTGAAATTTGATTCTGAACATCAGTATTCGAGCTCCCTAACATAACCCTATAACTTGTTCGATCAAAAGCCAAAACACTTGGAACTCGAAGTATCTAAATTTCAGGAATTTTTTGAACCTTTGATTTCTCATGAGTTTTACTAAAGGAAAATTGTTGCATGTGGGTTGGACTGTATTACTAGATATGCAGTCCAAAAAGTGTAAAGCATCCATGTAAACTAATGGTCTAAATGCTTTCTTATCAGAATTATGATTTGTAGTTTTTAAAATTTATTTATTTATTTATGCTCATTATCTTGCATATCTTTAAAAATTAAGTCTAAAAATTCATCTTAAAAATATATTTATTAATAGGCCAGCATTTCTATATATGCAGGCTTGGTTGCATAAAAACTGGGTCCTTTACTAAATTGAGTCAACTGTCCCAAAATGCCTTCACATTTTTTGATTTTTAATCAAAATAAAAAATCTCTAAAATCACTTTTTTTTTCCAGCCAAATGTTTTTGTCGTTTTCTCCCCGTTTGCTTTTAATTTTGATTTCTACCTTTATTAGATGAAGCCAAATATCTTATTCTCAATCATTGATTTTATGTTTTTCTCTAGTATTTTTTTTGCCATGTTTCTCAACTTGCACCCGTAGACAGTCGGTTACCAAAGTTCGGTTTTTGAACACTGGAACAAAAAACATGAAAACATTTTTAAACCAAAAGCCACAATTTAAAGAAGAAAAGTATACCGGACTATTTATTTTCAATATAAGGAGATCATAGTCACTCTTATTCATCATATTTCAAATCGGGTGGTTGTACATGTGTCAATGATTATATTCAAAATTCAAATTTTTTTTTTTTGAACTTTTTGACACAGCCCAAACTATCCAAATTATCATCTAATGCTAGGAGCAATTGTAATAAAAGCAAGGGAAAATTATAGATGATCTCCAAATTTAACTTTCTATACATCCTACCTCTCAAAACTTTTTATATCCTACCTTAAACCTTAATGCTATTTTTTTTTTATATTCACCTCCAAAATTAAAAAGTCAATAATTTAAGACAAAAATAGCCTTCTTTTTTTTTTCTCTCCCTTTTAGAGTCACATGACTCTCTCTACCTTGCGCTCTCTCTCTCTACCCCAAAGTAAAAATTCATTCTCTCTTTCACTCTCTTATTCGTGGTAATGCAATCCGACACATAGGGTGCCAAACCGCATCGAGTTTCAATAATGTGGCTTGTAATGTGGTCCAAAACCCAATGTGCTGGATTGTGTAGATTGAGTTAAGTGCCCGATCAATTTTTTTTTGCGATCTGGCACGCTTTTGTGCCAGACTACAAAAATTTTGGTGTGGCACCCCATGTGCCAAACCACATTACTAGAGAATGAGAGACAAAAAAAGCTACGATATGGGTTTTTAGAGAGGGAAAAAGAAGATGAGTTTTTACTTTGAGAGAGAGAGAGCGCCATGTGGCTCCAAAAAGTGCAAGAAGGGAAAAAGTAATGACATTTTTTTAAAAAATTGACTTTTTTATTTGGAGAGGTAAATATTAAAAAAAATAGTATCCGAGTATAAGATGGGATACAAAAAGTTTTGGAAGTTGAATTTGAGAGGTATTTATAATTTTCCCTAAAGATAAATAATCTTACAGTACACAATCCCTTTTTAAAAAAAAACAAATACCACACACATACAATGTGTTGGCCATGAAAAGCGATCAGTACAGTCTAATAAAAGATGAAACCCGAGATTGTATCATGGCCACCATTTCCATACCAGTTTTCCTATGGTATTGTATCATATACTAAAATGTAGAGATACTTGTTTACCATGTTGAGATCTTTACTGTAATTATGAAGGATGGTGGAGATGAACTGTTCTTGGTCAATAGTGGAAGAGGGATGGTTCAACTTAATCTGTCATTGAGAATGGACTGTTAAGATCTACATGTACTATAGAAATAGCATACTACAAGTAACAAGACTACTCTTGTTACCCCAACTGAATTGCCCAAACTAAGGGAAATTTATCTGAAGGGTGTGGTTTCTATCAAGATGCAACCTTAAACAATCCAATTAAGGCGCACCTTAAAAATTTATCATAACATGTAATGTTGATATAAAAATTCTTAGTATTATCTTATAATATATTTTCATGCCTAATTAGAAAATTTTAAATTCTAAAAATAGTTAAAATCAATAGATCTATAAATATATGAAAATCTTGAAAATGGACGGCCTAAATAATGTGTTGCAAGATGTACTACTTCCAGGACTCAAAATCTTTTTTTTTTTCATATTCATACATCTCAATGTCGAGATGATCGATTAGAGGGTTTTTCAACATTAAAACAACATTTCTGATAGATTTTTGAGGTGCATCTCTGATTCTACATTTTAAGGTTTCAAGCTTATCTAAACTTTTCCCTTTTCTAAATACTCACGAAAGAAGAACTATTTAACATTCTATCAATGTCTTTTAATTAATTTCAACATATCCCTTAATACACATGATCATGAGCTCAAATAGTTACAAAAGGGTAAAAACCTTATATAATTCATCTTGAATGGGTATTTTGATAATTTTCTCAAATAAAAATAAAAATGACAAGTTCGTCATCAGGTAATAGGGGAATGCTTCACAAAAACATAAATTATATATATATAAAACTCATAAAAGACTACTTATGTAGAAGTACATACAGATACTTTTAAATCATTTTCTTCTTTCAGGAGATTAAATTTGAACTTCCACCGCCAAAATTTGTAGAGCGATCAACTCTAACCTCAACAAAATAAAAATCATGCCTATGCTGCAAAAGCGACGATATTGATGGCACTGGTCTATCTATATGGTATGCAATACACCCATGTGGTAGTACCACACGCAAGATTTGGGCTTTACATGGACAAATAATTTACTGAGAACCGAAAAACCCATAGATCTTTAGATTACCTGTGGTATAGATTAGATGTAACCCCCCTTTCCATGTATCAGGCTATTGACAACTAGAGAAGGCCATATATGATGTATAGTCAGATATCTGTCTTGCAACCACTTGGTTGTTTTATTTATTTTTGACCATGAATATTCAAGGAAATCCGGCTGATATGAACCCAAACAGGTCGATATCAAGCTTCAAATCCAATTTCTCACCACTCCATATTGGACTGATTTCATGGTGGCAGGCAAGTTTTATCTTGGCTAAGGAAACTGTAAACCTGTTTCAAATTTCCTCGCGATGGGCGCGCATTTATTGCAAACTTGCAGATGTATACTAGCCGGCGGCGCATCTCCCACTTTGTAATACACATTTGTTTAAATGCCTCACCATCATTGTAAACTCCTGATAAATGCCAAGAAGAATAGTTAGAAAGAGATCAAATTTCGCTGTAACTTTAGTAAGACGATAATGACTCATGCCCTTTTAAAGAACCCTATTGCAAAGAAAGACCCACAAAATCATTAGGAAGTGGAGGCATGTACAGTCATCCAATGATAAATATGTACTTTAAAGAAACATGCAACTAAGTTCTGAAGTAGGTAACGGTTAATTAAGTTCCAAAACTGCAACAAAATCAAGGTTACAAGGTATGCAAGAACTTGGCGGATATCCAAGGATCATATGACAAATGGGATAAAAAAAATGTTGGCCAAGGGACGGCCCTTTATGGCTAAAGAGGGGATTTCTCATTAAGACCTCCGTTTCAAATCTATCCTTTGAGTGACCAGAGGAGAGGATGAGAAAAGTTCCTAAATGAAATGAATTGTAGTGAAAGCATCAAGAATTATTGACACTGAATGAGCCTGAATATACCATCAGCAGAGAATTCAACTTAATTGGTTTTCTTCGATCACTTTTTTATACAGCCTAATTAATTAGACCTGAGAAATACTTCTTTCAATGAACAGTCCAGCGGCATAGATTCTAAGAAACACAAAAATAGATGTTTACAAACTTGTCTAGACATTCTGCCATTGAATAGCTTCAATGGGGACACGAATACTATCCAACATATAAGGAACTAACAAATATATGATCTCTGCACAAACTCAACCTTTTGAGAATAGAAGTAACCCCTCTAATCCATCTAAGTATATTTTAACAACCACCAATTAGAGAAAGCACTAACATCAGTATGCAATGACCACTAGATCAGGTTTCATCCCTATCCTGCATCACTAGGAGACCCCTTCCTTTCAATAAACACTCTTCAGGTTCTCATTGAAATAGTTAATGTATGAGAAAAGCCCTTGGAGACCATGGTGCATTGATACTTGACAATTGATGATAAAAACCAAATAACACGGTAAACATTGATTTTGTAGCCATGCCCATGGCAGCACGCAAAGCATTATAGATGTGAGGGCAGTACCCTCAGCAGTAAGTCTTTATCTTTGGCAAAAAAATTATGCATTTTCTTCGGGGACCATATACTACACTATACCCAACATCCACAGTGCCTTAAAAAGCAAAAAACAAGTCATTTGCCACCATCAGTGGTAAAGTCGGGATGGTGGATGTCGGGTCTGAGCACCCAACTCAGAACTCATACATATATGACATTTTCCCTATCCTTTGACCACATCTATGAATGGGTTATTGCCATGATCTTGACTGGCATATGGGAATTCCTTCCTATGCCTCTCAACAGCCTATAAGATATCCTCTTGTTCAAGCTCCGTACCTGTAATTTATGACACTGCCATTAATTTTAGGGTGCAGTTTGTATAGAGCCGAGGCTCTAAACAATCAAAGTAAAGCGCACCTTCAAATAGTGTCGAGAAATGTGGTTGTTTCAATATTGGAAATCTTTGTAATAGCCTTAAAATATATTTTCATCTTTAATTATAAAATGTAAAACTTCAAAAATAGTGTAGATCGAGCAGATCTATGACAACTTGAAATATTGAAAATTGACAGTCCAAAAATATGTTACAAGATGCACTATTGCCAAAACTTGAAATTCATTTTCTTCTCATACCCATGCATCTTGATGTCGAGATGATCAATTTGAGGATATTTGGGCATCAAAACAATCTCTTCTGGTGAAAATTTTGAGGTGGCTCTAATTTGATTGATTAGAGCCTCGGATCTATATAAACTTTTTCCTTAATTTTATTATTCTTTTTTAGAAGACATCTCAAGTGATTCCCAGGGTAGTAGAAAACAACTATGCATAACTTATCATAATAATATAACATGAGTAAAGCTAAGAATTGGTATCAGCTTTGTACCTCTTTCATCAAATAATGATGTCAAAATAGCGAGACATACACACACACTTATATCTTCACCTGTAAAAGGATATATAACCAAATAATCAATGACAATTTTCAATTTATGGTGGACCAAAAACAATGTGAAATCGAGGAGCCAAATGGGACAACAAAATCAGCAAACACAAGCCTCAAAACTCACCATTATCGCAACATACTAGGATGCGTTTCCCTCTATTCAAATTCAATTGAGCAAATTTGACTGCGCTTGGGAGATTGCTTAGTAAGGAAAACCGATCCATTTTTGAGTTCTGATAGAAAATGCCTGAGTCAAATATCCACATAAATCCATACGTGTGGCATCTAACTTAAAATAAAAGTTCAAATTTCCTTCTTGTAACCTTACACACCACTATAGGAAGGCAAAGATAGGCATCAGTGCTTGGAAGTGAGAGAGATTCTGATATGCTACCGCAGATCAACAAACAATCTACGTCCTTTACCGCATTTACTGCTGCAGTGGCAGATAACATGTGTAAGGTGCCAATAATATATAATAAACTGTTGCAGCAAGAATAACATATTTGCCAAGATGTTCAGTTTTACAAAAGAACAATGTAGAAGTTTAGAAAAAATTGTTCACATGTGCTCATCAAAAAAATTTCTCTCCTAAAGAGAATTAGAGAATTATAAAAATACGTTTGAGAAAATGATACAAATTGTGCTGAAATAAGTTTCTCCCTTACTTCTTGACAGAGAAATAAGCGGGAAACAAGTAAAGGACTAGATAATAAAACTCTCATCGATATTTTGTTATGATGCAGACATTGCTTTACTCAACCTTGTGACTTGCAACATAAAGAACTAAAAGTGACTCATTCTCGTTGATTGTTTGCAGTTCTTGTTCATTTATGTAATCAAAATCAAGTTCAGAATAAATGTTCTAAACATCATCAAATTCATTAATTTAATCAGTCAAAATTTTACAACACCCATAAAATAATATTTGTATCACAAGATGAAAAAATATAACAACCTTGTGAATCATATAGCAAGAGACACATGCACGTGCATGCACACAGATAGAGAGCATCACAATGAAATAGACAAAGCTAGCAAGTACTTACTTATTCGATCAAAAATCACCAGCAAGAGTTCCTGGCATGCAATAATTCAAGAACTGAATACATGACCAGTAAGATCTCAGGTAAAGCTTTAGAACTAACAAATTCGATGGCAAAATCCCAAATAAAAAAGAAAACTGCTTTAACATGATGTTTTTCCAAGAAAAAAAACATGAGGCAATGTTGGAATTCAAATACGTGATAGGTTCCACCAGGAATTTGTGATTTTCCAGTGAGATCGTAGAAAATCGTGGGCAGGATACATACTGTGTGCAGGCCACCATAGGTAGTACGATTATAAGGACTATTGTCCATCGAATGGAAATACTCCTCAAATAACAAAGTCTATAGCAGTGCTTATTGAATTATATATGGTCATTCAAAAAATAAAAATCCTGCTACAAAACATTAGACACCAAATGCAGCCATTGATGAATCGAAAGCTCAAGATATTAAAAAATCTCAGTCCAAATTGAGTTAGCCAAGCAAATTTTATGCTCCAGTATCAATTTTATGATTGAAACATTTTGCACATAACATAATACATTTACACTTCAGAACAATGAATAGATTTGGTTTGTAGCCTTCTTGAATACCTTGGTCTGCGGCCCCAACGGCAAGATTAGTTGATCCCAGCCAATAAAAAGGACAATCTCTTCTAGAGGATTTTAGACTTGCATGTATCTTCAAATTTTCACAATTATCATGTTTCTTCAAATTTTCACAATTATCTTGTGAATAAGAATTGCTACCTCCAGCGTTCGTGCTTTCAATATCACTTGTTAACAATTTCTGAGGTTTAAGCTTAACTTGGACAGTAGTCGCCCCCCTTTGAGTGCGATAAACTCTGTCCTTTTCCACAATATCAGCTACCTTTTGATTGCACATATCAGGTCCAGAATGAATCAGGTCAAATGAATACCTCCAAAAAAGACTTGGAGTTAAACCTCGTGCCCAACTTTCCTCATCATCTCCAGCTCCTGCTATATAATGCCAACTATACTCTGATGAACACTTCTGTTGAATTCTATCCATTGAGCAGGAAGCAGAAACAAGAATGATAGGAGTGAAATTCCATGAGTCATAATCAGGGACTTCATTTAACCAAATGACCGTCCTCTGAGAAATCCATAGTGGCCTTAAGGGCTTTTCCAAGGAGTTAACAAGAGGAGTAAGATCTGCACCACTAGCTTCCAATAGTTTCATCCATTCATCGAGGTAATTCTCAATAGCTGCTTTCTCAGTTTTTGAAACCCATAAAGGGAGATGTAATGAACAATCCCAATCTTGGGAGACATCCTTCATATCAGTAGCTCCACCAAGACAATTGTTCGAAACCTGCAAATGAGCTCAAGTAATTGATTATATCAAAATTAGACTATACAAACAATATGGGTCACAAACAATGGAGAGATAGAGGAATGCTAGATACATGGGTCAGTTTCCTTGTAAACTTCTTGAGTAAGAGTCACCTGTTCTTCTATCATATTGTGCTTGGACCTGTCCTTGAAATAATATTTTATAGCCCTATTCAATACGCATGTCCATATGGGTATTGTCTTCGACATGCTGTCAGGAAATCTCTTTCCTCTTCGAGTAGAATCAACAATGATACACCCACCCCTCTGTGCTGATACAAATCAGCAGTCTTTCCATGTAAGCAGTATTCTAAGACAAACCACGGAAACAATACAGATACAGAAGATATATCAAGACAAGAAAAGCAGGAATATGAAGATTAAGTGAGGAACCAATTAAGATACAAAAGACATATTAAGGCAAATTGGCAAAGATCCTAGCAAATTAGAAATGTTCAACTTGCCACAAGACTAGCAATGCACTAATGAACAAACAATCCACATATAATATGGCAAGGGGGATGAAAATCGCTAATAAGATATTACAAAATCCTGAGTGCCAACATTCTACATATTTTAGCCATAAGAAATGGATTGAAATTGCCTCATATCTATGAGTAGATTTACAATGTCTTTAGAGTTTCAATAAAACTAGAGTGATCCAAAACCTACAGATTCCAATGTCTAGGTATACATGTGTACTCCAAATTCTATTACTTCCCTCTCCAAGTCCTGTACTTGTTCGGTAATTTTTTCTAGTGGCTAAATTCCCAACTATAGTACTTTTTAGCGTTTCTTGCACCAATCCTATGTATACTCTATGTTCGACCCGAGTTTGTTAATGAGACGATTTATCTGCTTCTCAAGTTGAATCCATCACACAAGTCAGAAACTAGAGCGACAAATGTTTGCTTTAAGGAGCCTTGTGAGTAAGTTCAAGGTGAGGCTGAGTGATCCTATGTGAGGCTCTCTTTTTTATTTCTTGATAAATGAGGCTTACATTTTTTAGCTTTGAGGCAACATATCATGCATTTCTTGCTTCTGAGAAGTGAAACCTTTGGGCATAGGTTGCTATTTTGGTGATCAAAATTACAACTTGAGAAATTTGTCCAATTCAATGTTCTGGACCATAATTAATTTCCACTAGTTTAATGTTTCGAAATCACTATCCTTGATGACATTGTCTAAGTTCTAAGGACCAATTTGGATGGACTACTAACGCGTTTGATGTAGTTTTTTAACACTCGTGTGGGATCTATTCCGTGACACATTTGCCTATGCCTATTTTTTAATCCCATTTGTTTCAAAGACACTATCCCTGAATCGTTAAACTCACAAAAAAGGATACTTGTTTTGCCTTCAGTCACATTAATGCTAATCACAATAACACCTACTCGAAGAAACCAGAAAACAAAAGACACTCTAACTATGCTTAGCATCAAACCATCACTCATATGTGACCCTATTTCCTCCCACCCAAAAGCAAATCCCTCAACAAAAGAAAAAAAAGAAAAAGAAAAAATGTGACAAGCATATATGGGGACTATGAAGCTATGGAAAAGTTATGCACTAGTTTCTTTCCCGTCTTTTGGATAAATTTAGCCTTAAACTTCTCAAAACAAGCTCTTATTTTAGGGAGATTTATCAAAATGCACCTAAAGGGATGAACTGTTTGACATTTTATATATTTATCTTGATTTGATTTAAAAAATCCCATCAAATTACACATTATCATGAGATAGTAAAAAACTGGTGAAACGTTAAAATAAATTAAATGGTAGATAAGTTAGGTGTATTTCCATAAATTTCCACTTTCTTTAACAATTGGTAATAGAGAACATTAAGTTGGGCATATCAACCTACTTCCCCAGTTTCAGGGAAGTTGAAAACATTTGAAAAGACAGTTATTACATGAATTTTAAGGTCTCAAGAAGACCACCATTAAGTTCTGCCTAAGCAGGAGAATAAATATCAAAGAGTTACAGGTTCACAGATGTCAGTAAATCTTCTATTCATTGCTTATCATTTTTTTTTACATTTTCTCAAATTCATTGTATGTTTTGTTTTGGCCTCGCCAAAGTGCCACACATTTCTCACTGTATCCCCCTCTTATAACACAAGTCACCTCCATTTTCTAAACATAATCTTATCTCTACTTCATCAAAAAGAGACAAGCATCCATCTCTTAACAATTTCTGCCTAATTCTCAAAGTAAAATTCAGAAAGAGCAAATCTTTACAACTTTGCCCTGAATTTTGTGCAGAGATTACCTGCAAGTTCAGCAAGATGTAGATTGAGACGAGAAGTGCTGAAAGACCAGTTCCCAGTGTGGCCATCGGTGGACTTGAAGTAGCAGGTGGCATCAAATCTCTGAGAATACCAGAGACCACAGCGAAGGTTCGCAACCAATGGCACTTCAGGCCAAATTGAAGCAATTTCATTGACAAAGAGAGAGTCCTCGTATATGGATCTGAGAGAATTATAGAGAGTGTTGTTCCTTTTCTTTATGGTCCTACAGGCCTTGTAAATAGTTAGGGTTTCTGGTTCTTGTTCCGCCATGGCAAAAGGAAGATAGCGAGGACCTTGAGCAATGGAGGGAGCGGGAAACTTGTATTGAATGCTGTGTATATGTGCGCCCATGGTTCATATCGGCCGTCCAGATTTAACAACCACGGTTGAGGATAAGAATACCTACTATTTGTAAACAACGTGATCTACTAATACCTTTGCCGAAAACGTATATAATGAGATTTTTTTTTTTTTCTATCGACTAACTTCAAAGTTCAATTTTTTTTTTCCAAAATTTTATAATGCATCTATCAGATTTTACGCAAAGTGGTCACAAGTAATTATGACTTCTTTATACCAAAGATAAATGATGCTATTATATATAATCCCATCTTTGCCACATATTCTAGACAATTTGTTCAGCCTTTTCGTAAAAGAAATATGTACAACAAAACTATTTACTTTTGATACAAGGAGAGGACTATTTTTTTATTGTTAGATGGAAAATAAGGTGGCAAAAGATGTGTATTGACTGAGTACATAGTCTAAAATAAAATTTTCAAAAATATTGTGGCAAACTTCAATATCCCAGATTTTATATTTAATAACTTAAAAGTGATTGTGCTTCTTTGCATCAAAAGTAAACGGTTTTATATTATAAAATCTGACCACTAATATCTATTTTGAATCCAAGAATTTTCAATTCTAGAAGTTAATGATCTCGACATTATGGATACGACAGAAAAAACTAATTTGAATTTTGAAATGAAATTTATATATTTGTACTAGTAAGGAACTATAGCATATATGTTTGTAATTGATTTTGAGAGATTTAAAAAGCACTATCTTGTTGAAATTCTATATATTTTGTTATTTCTCAAGGCTTATTTAGACAAAGATTCATTTTTTTCATCTTTCTGGAGGATAAATATCTCTTTCAACATGGAGTTTGAATCAAATATCAAAACTAAGATACTATATAAGTTCTTCCCTTTTGAATAAGATAGATTCATAACTAATTTATCTTAACCCATTTTCTTAATCATTCACTCTAATTCTTAACAAATGGTCGGATTAGCACTGTTTTTTCGAACTGCAAAACCAAAAATGTAAAGTAGGATAGACTCCTGCCTCAGGAGATGCACAATAATTTTTTCCTTCAATGAAGTCCTAAGAAAAAAGAAAAGAAAAGGATGGTATCAGCCTGAGACATTCTTGTGAACTCACTCCAACTAGACCACAACAGACAATTATCTGTCCAAAGATAATTTGTATACATATAGAGGTGCTTTCATAGTTGGGCATTTTAAATAGGAAATAAATAGATGGAACAAAAGAATGCCTTAAAAATATTATCAAGAAAGGAACAGAGAGAGCAAAATATTTGAAATAGAATGACTCCTTTTTATTATGGTAAGTCATAGATACCGCCTCTGACTTTCTAAGCAATGCCTGGTTATTTTTTAAATCAAATTACTAACCCTGATATTGTTTTTTTTTTTTTTTCAACTACTTCCGCAAGTAAAAAATAATCTTTTTTTTAGATGAAAGTGCCCCCATTGAAGCCTACATTTTTAGACCTACTCTCTCTAGAAAAAAAATAAAGCACATTCGAAACAATATGTGCCAAACTGAGTTCAATTGGCATTGACAGTAGGTCTTGTAAAATGTATGCCAGTCTAGCTTTAATAGGGACCAAAAGCCAGTCTCTCAAGCACACAGTCATACCATCTTCATTGTTTACAATAAAGCCGATCCAAACACAATGTGTACCAAACTGGCTTTAACAAGGATAAAAAATACGTCTCTCACATTATGTATCGGACCACCTTGAATAGAGACTAAAATTTGGCACATAATATGCGAAACTGGCACCAAACTAACAAAAATGTGGTTTAGAAGGGCCATTTGTCATAAAAATTTATTGTTTTACTTTGGGATTGGATATAGAAAAAAATACTGTTGGTTACTAATGTGGTTTAAAAAGGTCTTTCTCTTTCTTTTTGGACGAGGTGGGGCGCAGGGGCAGGGTAGGGGGGGGCGTGTGTGTAAAAGGGTATCTATAATTTTCACTTTTTATTTTCACCTTATGCACATTAGAAACAACCATTATTGATGTCCGGAGTTGCTGCGACCCCATATATAACAGTAAAGTTGATATATTACCAATTGGAGTTCAAACCAGAAAAAAAGACATTTATTGTAAAATGATGGTTTAATCGGAAAAATATTTAGGTAAGAAGTAGCCATGAGGAGACTACAATCCTTAGTGTGGTTCCTTGTTTGGACAATAATGGGCTGACGAAGACCTTTCTTAAGAAAGGTCTTCTATATTTATAAGAGTTGTACATTAACGACCTACTTAACACAACTTACCTCCTTAAATATAGTTTGAGATATGCTTGGATAGATTAGAAAATTGAGAAAATTATAAAAAAAAAAAAAAAAAATCTGCAAGGCCACACTTCTTATACAACTTAGCCCCTAATTTTTTTTCTCACTTTTTTTTCCAAAACAAAATTTCTATGCAAATACCCCCCAAAGAAAAAAATTTATTTATTTTAGACAAAAATACCTTTCTCGTAAACAAAAATCATTTTGGATAGATTTGACATTACTTTTGGACCCAGTAACACATTACCGAAGCACACCATCATATTATCAGAACTCACAAGTACAAGACCGCCCTTTGCAACTGCCGAACCGCCCTTTTCAATTGTCAAACTGCATACACAATGCAGGAGCCCTACTACTCGACTGCATGCCGCAGCCTTAGTGCCGAATTAAACTTTACAATGCCAGAGCGCTATTGGTAAACCGCACTTACATGGTGCCAAAGCCTCCTATTTTGGTGAGATAGAGGAAAAAGAGGTGCAGGTAAAATAAAGTAAGGGAGAATAGTTTAGGTATTTTTTTATTTTTATTTTGGTTGGGGGTTTTTGCATAAAAATCATATTTTGGAAAAAAAAAAAAAGAAAGAGAAAAAGTTAGGTTAAAGATAAGTTGCATAGAAAATGTAGTTTTGAAAAAAAAAAATTTGTAATTTTCCCAAAAACATTTAAGTCCTCACCTTTCTTAGACCTGAGTTTTATATGATTAAGTAAATAATCTAAAAAAATGGAGAGATTAATAAAAATATTACACATAGAATTAACAATAGATGAAGTACAGATATGCAACCGAAATTTTATGTGATCACCACACACCAATGAAGTAGAAAGACATGTTCTATAGCATCTATGAAACTAGCTTTGCTTTATGGGGCGAAATGTTAGGCGGTAAAAAAACATATCCATAAAATGAGTGTAACTGAGATGAAAATATGAAATAAATGAGTGACAAAACAAAGAGATAAAATTTAAAATGAATACATTTAATAAAATTTAAATGTGACACCTATTGGCAATAAGATGAAGTAGATTTAAGTGGATTGATCATGTATAGCACAAACCCATAGATTTAAATGGGTTGATCATGTGCGGCACAAACCCAGTGTAGAAGTTGTTAAGAGGATATGTTAGTTTAAGTAAAAAACTCAGGAAGGACAAAGAGTACGCCAAAAAAACATGGTTATAAATAATGCAAAAAGATATAAAGATTTATGGTCTCACTAAAAGTATGTCTCTTAATAGAGCAGAATGACATACCAAAATTCATGTAATCAATCCTAATCAATTGGAAAAAGATTCTAATAATGACATTAATCTTCAATGTACCAAAATATTTTATGCTCTCATTGGAGAATAGCCTTGATTCATTGAAGTTGTTAACAACCAATTTAAAAGCAATTTAGGGATATCACCAGTTTAGACCAAGAGATTTAATTCAAAAAAAAAAAAGTTTCTACATACTCAAAATAATAATAATGTCCCAAGATGATTAGGGACCATCCAATTTATGGAGGGCGAATATTGAAAAACTCAAAATCCAAGTCTTGAAATAATCTAGTGATTTTTAGGTGGATCCCAAAATTTCAGACAAAAAAATCCCAAGTAGGTCTTTTGCCTGAGGGAGCAAGTGTATAACATATGCTCCGGCTAGAGAATAGCACAAACGGTTTTTACATGAATACAGGAAGAAGAATGCTTAGCGCTTCAATAAAACAAATAACCATACCCAGACCTACAGACAGGAAGTTGGAAGAGGAGGGGCAGAGAAGGATACTGATGATGGTAGACTAATGTTGAATCTTCATAACACAACTAATAGCTACATGTATACAGGTATTGGCAAAATTATGAACTAGATGATGTCGACAATGAATGGATGATCTCTCTCTCTCTCTCTCTCTCTCTCTCTCTCTCTGAATCCATCTGCAATGAGTTAAATCTCTTTCTCCGCATCCATCTGCAATGATCAAAAAAAGAATCGCCATCGCTCCCTCTCTCTATAAAGAATACAGAGAAATAAAACAGGCCAATTCAATCTGGAATGGTCAACCCGCTGGTTAGAAACCTTCAGATGAACCAGTCTTGTAGTATACTCTAGTTTAAAAACACATTTCTCAAAAGCGCAAAGATCTTGATGCCATGGAAGCCCTGTCAGTTATATAAAACATAGAGAGTCAACAATATTCTGATACTCAAGACAAAAGGAGAGAATTGATGGCACAGAAATTGAGATTAAAAAATTCCTTACCATACGTGATGACATCTTACAGCTTCTTGACGCACAGACCTCTTTTGGTCATCCAGAGCCTTTGAAACAGTTTCTAGGACCTGAAGACCAAATAATATAGGACAACTGATGATTACAGCAATATATATGCAGGTCCACTATTTGATATAAGAACCCAGCATATCTATCTCTCTAAAAAACCAGCATGTAAATTTCACAATGAGGTAGTCACCAATCTCATCGATGAAATCACTATCATTCGAGAAATGGATAAAATTTTGGGGAGAGAGATTGGGAAGAATTACCAAATTTTGATACTTATATTAAGTTATGGATTGCACAATAATATGAAATAACAGGATCTGGGAATATTATGGAAAAATAAGTCATACCTGTAACCTCATGGGATAAATCCTTGCATGGGGCAATGCAGCCATTGCCACAAGACATTGAATTGCTGTCTCCCTAACAATCTGAAAATACAAGAGATACTCGCTTTTAAAAGACATTCCAGGATTTCAGATAATTCTCTCTCATGCTAAGAAACAAGCTTGAAAACTGATAAAGACTGTGTTAATGTTTCTCTGATGAACCTAAATAGCTTTACTGACATGATATGGATGCTAAAAAAGATGATGAAAAGAATGCCCCATTTAACTGCAGAATAAATGAAACTCAGACAATAGTCATCACAGGTCTCACTCTTAACTCACCAAAAACTATACATGAAAAGAAGTCAGAATACCTGCAAATAAGAAACTTGGAAATTTGGAAACAAAAGAAAAAAACTAGAAGAACCAGAGATTAAAATGGAAAAGAAAATAATATAGGTTCTGTATTACAAATTTGTGAACATATCGATATATAATTCTTAAGCTTCTTAAATAATTACAAAAAAAGTAGAAGGAAGTAGCATATACATAAAACATTTTCAATTGCTTTGCAATTTTTTTCTTTCCAGTTTACGCATTCACACAAAATCAGAGTCCCTGTTTTTCTGGCAAAAATAAAATGATAAATCTGACAAATATGGGTATTAATACTCAGACATTTTAAAAACCCCAAGACACTTGCAATTAATTTTTAGTTATTTTATTTGTATGTTTTCATAATTTGTTTGTTGTAATATAAGTAAACATATGCGCGGCAACAAAAAAATATAAGTCAACATATGCATGGATGGTAAATCCTGCTATATTTTGTTAATTTAAAAGTAATTCATAGATTTTAAATTGTACATTTAAACCCCACTTTTTATAGTAATATAGCATCTTAATAGATTATTATTTTTCTGTACATCCCATTAGCTCCAAGTTTGAGCACCTATGCTTCCCACCATAATGCAATTGTAAAAAGTATTTGAAAATATATAACTACTTCTAACAACTCCCTCCACCGGTCCCTCCCTCCCTCCCTCCCTGTATCTTTTAACATGAAATAGAAATCTAATACACTGTTTAGACCATAACTTTTAACATGAAATAGAAAACCTAATACAGTGTTTAGACGTTGGGACAAAAATGATGCATGCACAGCACTAATAAGATTATTTCGGATGGAATATTCTTATTCCATCCACCGCAGATTATTTTGTTTGGTCAGTTTCTAACTAGTTTTCCATGGGCATTCCCGTTCACATTTGATGATACACTTCCACATCTAGTTATTTTTCTATTAGTTCCCTCAACATTTAATAGGTAGTAAGAAATCACAAAAGTAATAAAGATTCTACATATCAAAAGTAGAAATAGAATGTCAAATAAAAGCAACTGAAGCAGTTAACCCTCTCAAAAGTTACGGAATCAAGCATTTAGAAATACCATGACCAGTGATTACCATCAAATGGGGATAGGTAACAAGTTTGGAAAGACAGCCAATGATAGTATGTGCATTTTCCACTACTGCTTCCTTTCCTGCAGAATATAGTTCAAACAAAAAATGGAGATTTTCATAGTTCATGCACTCACACCATCATTAACATATGTATAAAATATTTTATTAAAAAAAATACCCAATTTCAAATAAATATTTCATAAAAAAATTGAAAGCATTCTAGTTACAAACTAAGAGAGAGATCTTGATAAGGAGGTTTATAGACTTCGATCCATTTCAAATATACTTAATTTTGTCATTCCTTACAAAAATTTCAAACACCTTTAGGTTTTAATCTTATTATAATTTAGTCTAGAAGACATGTGTGATTGCCTTGGATCTAAATCTGGAGTCCACAATGTCAGACACCAACATGCATGTTAGTGTACACAAAACATGGGTCAGTTAGTAGAATATGTTTCTTAGGGAAACTCTAGAACGATGATATATTTTATCCTTGTAGTTTGTAATCTTGCTCCAAATTTCCAATTCATTTTCTTCTTTGAAAATTACAGAACCTTTACAAGCTTGTTATCATTAAAAAGGACCCCTTATTTTATATATTGTGTTAAGATCCCACTTTTGTGCATTTTTATATTCCCAAGCTACCCCTCTGAACTTTAAATTCTGAGCCGAAATAACTTTTTATATTTTTTACATGAAGAAGCAGTTTAGAAGTTCAAGTTCCGAACCCATTTATCAAGAGAAATTGGGTTCAGAACTTGAACTTCTGGACCCAAATTCACAAAAAAACAAAAATGTTACCGTGAGTTACATCCAGATATTGGAGTTCTGAACCAGTGTTCAAAAAGGCGCATTCTCAGCACCTAGGCTGGCTAAGGCCCTAGGCTCATCGTTTTGAATTTGGCTCCCACCTAGGCAGACACCTAAGCCCCCTTCCTTCTTTCCTACGTTCATATATTATACATATTACATTATATAACATTACATATGGCTATAGTACTATATAGTATTAAATTATATAGTACTATATTAGATTGGCATTACATATTATAGTAACTTACATATTATATAGTACTATAATAATAGACAGTATTATATAGTAGTAG